CTTAAGAGATCCAGTGAAAGATTATATTCTATGTGCTTATAGAGTAGTAGAAAGTATTTTTCACTATTGACAATTTAGGATTAAAAAATTCCTGAATATCAGTCTTCCTTCATTATCTTTTTGTGAAAGTCAGGTCTGTTAACAATTTCTTTATATTTACTCCATTGCTGTATAATTGATGTATTTTCATTATGTAATCTGAATCCAAATGTTATAAGGGATCCCAAGGATACATTTTGTAGCTTTGAATTCTCTCATCTTTTCAACAACCTACTGTATCTTCCAGTAACAAACTGCTACTCAAGTAACTCTTCCAAACGCAGGTTGAAGGGCATCCTCCTAGTTTGCTACACCAATCCAGCATGCAGCTTTATGTTTGCTGAGATGATTTCTGAGAACAAAGTTTGTCCTAGTGCAGTGCAGGAATGTTCTCTCGGTGTCCTATTCCCTGTATCAGCTGGGAGTTCATTATTAATCTTTGCTATATAAATATTGTAGTCGTGTAAGAAAATGATGGGCTTCCTAAGGGTGACTAGTCCACTTCTATAGCATATAATGGTAGGAAAAGACAGTAACATACTTACACAGTATGTTTCACTGGATTTGAATGGTAAGATTTAGGGGAAGTGTCTGCCACTCTCATTAATTTGATTTCAAATGGCACTGGCAATACCCTGTATCAAAGACAGAAATATTTTGCAAAGGTAAATCCAGTTGCAACGAGTTAGGACAAAGTGTTAGAAACTAAATGGATGAAAAAGGAAGGAAGCAATAGGCCATACATAAAAGGGATTGTAAAGGGGATCATCCAAATTGTATGTTGATGTCCTTATTCAACACTGGTTTTTCTCACTTTTTTATCACTGGTACATCCAAAGGGTATAAAACTAGATGTGCAGATGGTGATGGTGTTGGGACGACAGCAAATCATAATGAATGCTGCATCTAGATTCAGTGCAGGCAGAAACAAGGGCAAAATATTTTAAAAAAGGAAAATCAAACCATATTAAAAATTCCTACTGTATGTGACAATCTTTTATACCATTCTAATGTGCAGTTAACTAGCATATTTAGCAATCTGATAGTTTTTATTCCTGAACTGTGACTTCCAGAGCAATCCTTCCCTTCCCCTCCTAGTCATATCATAGTTGGTATAAAAAGTCCAAATCAGGATGCATCAGAGCATCTGGGGTTTATTCAGTGACTTGCTCATCTAGTTGATTCTGACAGTATAGAACCTGACGTTGTCATATACCTCTTGCACTGAGTTGAGCATACACATTTGGAAACAATTCAGTCTTCCTTGTTCATGCACTTAAGTTTTCAGATTTTATTTAGTAGTGTGATATATTAGGGCTACAGATATGTTTTCTCTGTTTTAGTTGACTCATCTTTTCTACAGAAATTAAAAAGAAGCCATGATGTTCAGTGCTAGCAAAGGAGATGTGGTTGTTAAACTGATACACCAAGACTCTGTGGCCACTGTTCATGGAGAAGCTGTACCTAATGACTGCTTCCTTGTGATCTTTAAGTAATGAATGTTTAGAAACTATATTCTTGCTTCTCCAGAAAAGGAAGTTTTGACCAATTTTAAAAAATATGTTGGTGGCCCATGAGGTCTTCAAGAGCATCTTTTCTAAATTCTTCTGGAATTTTTGAAAATCACTCTGGCAGCCTTCCAACAATTTCAGGTGCCTAATTCTTCCTAAAAGTCTGGGCTTTTGCCCCTAACTTTTTCATCCAGCTGTGTTCTGTCTGGAAGCTGGAGATTTTGGCTCTCTCATGCCTCCATTGAACCCTCCAGATTCTGGTACCTGCATCCTATCCTGCCCAGCAGCTGCTCCAAGATCAAATTCTGTATTACTTCGTTACTTTTGGAAGGACCAGCAGGACTACCTTCACTTTACACTGACATTTGACCCTGAATTTTTCTTGAGAGAACGTTTTCTTTTCAAATACTCTTACAGATTTTAAAACAATTGCTGTTATAAAGTGCCTGTAGTGGTGTAATAGAAACCTCCCTCTTGCTATGAACAGCTCTTCTGTTCCTTACAGGGCAGCAGCTGTTATGCAAATAGAACTTTTAGTGTTAGCATCTTTGTCTACTCTTGCACTCTTCAGGGTTGCAGCAAGGACTTTATTTGCACCTGCTTCATTAATCATCTGGGTTATTACCTCAAGGCATTAAAATGTATTCCAGACATTAATACTACTGAGATAATACTCTGGAATGTGAAGACCACAGGCATATGGCCAAGTTACTTTCAGTTCATCCTGAAGGTGAGTGGTTTCATTTCTGCTTCCATTTCTTAAATAAAGGAGATTTTTTTTCTTTGGATTTGAATAATTTCTGAAAGGATCATGCAAATGGAAATCTCAAACTATTGATATTGTCATTCCATATTCTATTTCTATAATCTCTTCTGCTTTACCATGGTACAGTGTTTACATTCTTAATGTTTCACATAAAGATCTGCAACAAGGTAGCAATGAAAAACAGTGTGCCATGTGGTTAAAAAATTAATACCAAATAACCTGAGTGCTGTGAAATATATCATGTGACAAAGGAAATGGGCTTAAGTAGTGAGTAAGTGTATTCATATTTGTGAAAATACAAGAAATGTTAATCAAATTTCATGTGAATTTTGTGGAATTTTAAGGGAATTTAAATTAAGTTCCAAATGTTATGTTTGCTCCTTATCACTGAAATGTACCCTAATCCTAAAAATCTCCATTCTGGAAACCAAGGTATGATTTTCAGTGCTGAATGAAAGCTTCTGCTGCTATCTCAATAGTTTATCAGTAAACTGAATACTAATATCAATAATTGAACATACATTTTAGATTTTCTTGTAATAGTATGAGATTTAAACATACATTTGGTGGCATAAAGTCAAACAATGGCTTACTCTAAAAAATATCCTGTGCAGCCTGGCTCAGGAAAAGATACCTGGAAACATTCCTTCTGAACACAGATGTTGTGGTAAGATAGTAGAAGAGAGAAAGTTTTGCTAATTTCTACTTCCTCTGTAAGCCAGATTACATTAGGCTTTATACGTAGTGATCAGCACCCTGTATTTCACCTACAAAGTTAAATGATCACCAGTGCAAATATTTGTGTACCTGGCCTTTGTGTACTTGCCAAAAAGGTGGCAAAATCCAGACCATTCAAGCAACTTCACAAGATTGTCCTAGTAAAATAACCACAGACACAAGTGTTAACTGCGTAATATTCTATTCTTGTGTTACAAATGCTTTTTTTTAAATTTAACCTTAAATATGTAGGTGTTTCTCCTGAACTTCTTTGTTTACCCTTTTGTAGGGGAGAGAGCTACCTTCAAATGGAGCTTCCTGCAGAGATCAATAACCAATAATTGACTGTTACTACAAACAAGGCAAAAAATACAACTGTTATTTGAGACATTGTGGTTATACAGAATTGTTCCAGGCACGTTCAACATATACAGATATTAGATGTTTAAACATTGCCTTTCTTTAAGTTCAGGGCACTTAGCTGACAAGACAACATGAAAAGGACAATGTTGCCTTTGAAAACATGACTGAAACCTTCAACAGGTGATTCAGCCAAAAAGAGCACACAAAATGTACTATTTTCTGTAATTTGGGGGCTGGATTCAGAACTAACATAATGAACACAATGCTGAACATTGCTAGAATCATCAAGTTAAAACCAAGTTGAACATAAAGAGTTAGCCAAAGGACTCATCTTTGCAACACCTTGATATGCAGACTTTTTTAGACCATGTCTCAGCCAAATTATAGCAAAAAAATTGATTTTTAAAAATTAATAATTAATTATGAGAGCTCAGAACTCCAAAAGTGAGCTCCCACTGGTTTCAGTGAGGCCAGGATTTCAGCTCTGTGTTGCAACTGGATACATCTGTGCTGGGAAATTGGAGATGATCAAAAGATTCATAAACCAAGCCACTTCAAACATTAAAACACAACAGAGACAATTCTGTATGTAGAATAATTACTAGTCATAAATTGTGAGTGCTTCGGGTTTTTTTGTCTTGGAGATGTATGCAGGAATCTCAGTGCTGGAGTGGTTACAGTGTGAAACAGTAAAATCAGAATGCTATGCTGTTAGAATGGAAAAGGTAGAAATCATTGAGCTGATGAAGGATACAGAACTCTTTGTATTTACAAACAAGGGATTTGCCTCTTCTGGATTCTCTAACACTCATTTTTCATGTACTAAATACAAATTTACTAATAAAATAAGTTTGGGGGGTTGTGCATGCTTATGGTTTGGGTTTTTTTACATTTCTGTAAAGCCTAATTAAACAAGACATTTACTTAATTAATTACACAAAGCAGGCAAGGCATTTTTTAAATATATTTTTACTAGACTCTGTTAACTTATGACCTTTTGAAAAAAGTATGTGAAGAAACAGTCAGGTCACTACATCATTTCTTGCCAAAGTAAAGAGTACAGGATTCTTGAGGAATTCTACTGCTTGGCCTCTCTGAGATTAGGTAAGAGTTTGTCTCTGGCACTGACTGCATCACTGACTGCATCATCCACAAAGTTTTATGTATAGAAAAAAATTATATGTTTGTGCTCCATAAAACTAACTGCTAAATACTTTTAATTAGAATGATTGTTCAGTCAACCATCTTAATTTCTTTTATTTTCTTGAGTCACAATAGTTGTTAGCATAAAGGTAATTCTCTTAAAATCCATCAGATACTTGTGGAAGTCTCTAAATAAAGTTAACATCTGAAAATAAGCAATTCTTTACAGTATATTGTGTTTCTAAGTGGAAACTTTAAGTCTGGTTAAGGTCAGCTTTACTTCTTAGTTTCAAAGCTACGAACTGTGAGCTAAGGCCCTGTTTTCCAGAAATGGAGGGAGACAAAAGAAGTTGCTTTCTGTGGATAAAACTCTCTAACAGTAATAAAGGCCTCACTGGAGCAGAAAGACGCAACTCATTCTTCCCTGTGCCTGTTGGACTGAGTTGGTTTTCTCTAGCATTTGTGAGGTCTGTGAGAAATGTTTGGATAAGATCTTTTGGTGCTGTTCCCAGAACATAGTTCATGTGATATCAAAGAATCCTGATGTTTTGCCAGGGAACTTTTTGTCATTGGGAATTTGGAGGCTGGGTTTGTAAAGGATTGGATAAGCTGCAATACAAAGGCAACTCCTGAGCAACCTATTCTGGCAGGCCGTCTTCTGTCAAAGGCCACCTGTACCAGCAGACTCCACCCAAAAGAAGAATGGAGCAAAGGAGAGACAGGTGACAACTTTAAATTCTGTAGCACTGCAGAGCTGAAGCTGAAACATCAGTTGTCCAAGCCATGGATTTGCACTGAAATATGAATTACTAGAATAACTAAAGGAGGTCACTGTAACCTTCCTTAAAGCCAGAGTGTCCTTGTCTTGAAGCAGGGAGGTCAGAGATGAAGACCAGACTGATGTGCAATTATTATATTCCTTGAACTGCAAGAATTAGTGACCCTAGCTGCCTGAGAAGTGGGAAGGAGGGGTTGTCGCTCTCCTCACTTAAATACTGTTTCAGTAGCATTACCATCTCTCTGCACATCAGTCTAAATCAGTGGTTCCCAATATTTTTTTCCACCTATCACCCCTAAGTTTTGTTCACTGACAGGACAGTCCTGGGCAAATGGACAGTCCGGGGTGAATGGAAGGTAGGCATAGTGACAATTTTCCTCACTACTTCCATTCACCTCCTGAAGTCTGGAGCTGCAAACAGCATGTTTTGACTTCTGATTAAATGCAAGGAATTTATTCTACCATTGCTGTTCACAGTAGTTACTTAAGATGCAGTCTGTCACCACCTGCTTACAATATACAAAAGATGAGAAAGAAGCAGGTTTTCCAGAAGCCTTAAATTTGTGGTGATCACCTATTAGGTATATTGTGCATCTTTTGTGCTTAGTGAAGATGAAAAGATGAGAATCCTAATGTATCAAGTTTATATAGCTTCATCTCACAAAATATTATTCTGCTTACTAATGCATATGTTATGTAAGAATTGTTAGAAATTTGAGAAGCTATTCTGTCCAACTTTGGTTTCTCTCCATAGTTTCCATTATGATCTGGTATGAGGAAGGTCTCAAACAGGTAAGTGTTCCATGGTCGTGACCATAATTAAGTCCACCTTTTGATTTCTTAACTTACGCTGATGACTAAATTTCTAATCAGGAAATATATGATTTTTCTTCCTAAAGATCAAGTTTTAAATTGTAATAAGAATTTTACAGTTTCATTGTGTTGTAACCAGAATTTCTTTTTTTTCCCACAACTTTGCAACATTCATTAATAATCTTTGGTATTAACTGTCACCTGCATATATGAAGTATAAGTGGGGGACTGTGTTTGGCCTTACTCTGAATAGTTTCCCATCTGACATACTGTAGATAGTCTCAGCCCTGTGTTCATTTGAGATGACTTACTTTGATTTTTTTTAGTCATCACTGCATTGGGTCAACAGACAGATCAGCTGGAGAAGTTATGACAAGTGCATATACATATACAATAATTTATATAACCATATGAAGGGACTTATGCCTAGAGCTCCTTTTGATTTTATGTTTCATTGACCATCAGTGCCACTTAACTACTTACATAAATAAACATGCAAAGACTGAGAGAAGGGTACATATTTTTAATTAGATATAGATGAGATAAAAAGAAAAGTGCTGACATAAATCTGTAGAAAAGTTCTTGAGCTTGTGACGTGCAACATGATCTGCTGCTCCTTAGGTCACAGTGGGTTCATACCACGTGCACCATTTCTCTGAGTTGTTTGCAAGCCTTGTGCCAACTCCTTCTTCTTGAAACCAACACATCTATCCTCTTTCTATACATAACTGCCTTGACCTACAATAGGTACACTGAAGAAGAGAAAATTGACTGTATCATACCATGGAACTTAGAAACTGGAATGCAACTTACTTTTTGTAGGTTTAAAGGGTCTTTTCATGTTGAAAACAATTTCTAGATGTGGTATTTATAAAAATAACCAAAAGTTTGGATGGTGAATATTTGCAGGAAACTACTCAGAAATGATCAGCACATCAAGGATTACTTACTGAATATGTTCTCTAGATGCTAAAAATTCATGTACTCATTTTGCCAGTGTCTTCTACCAAAAATTAACACTTACCAAAGAAAATAATGTGAAGTATTATTCCAGTGTTTCTGGAATAGGTAGAAACCAATTCAAAGCATATATCCAGGTTTGCTGCTTAAGATACCTGAACATCTATCACATTTTCTATGAGTGTGAAAAATATAATTAGTTATTAATTTATTAATTACATGGAGCAAGGAGAAAGCAGAGCTGAAATCCTTTTAGGAGGTCATTTATTTCAATGGTACTGAAATTTATTATTATTGGGTCTGTCTTTCTACTGTAATAGGATAGGCCCTTCATATATACAAACGTCCCTATTTTCAGTCCATCAAATAGGTGGTGCTTCTGTACAACACCTAGAATCTTGTCCCTGGGTAGTTGTGTTCTGCAGCTACTGCCTGAATTGACAGGTATCATTAGAAGCTTCCTCTGCCTGATCCAAGTCTTGATGCCCCTAGGAAATTGCACCATTCCTCACATCCTATGCCTTTTGATGTTCTTCAGTTGTGGATCTGGATTTCACTAGGAAGAGAAAGGTCAGCCTCTCCCATGCACTTTGTGCCACTGGGGTAGCATAAACTTCAACACAGTTCAGCTCACTCTTACCAGGGGAGTCCAATGAACATGCAACAAGTGCCCCCCCAGGTGGCCACTGGAGATGCTCCAAATGTGCCCCTAGGCAGGGCAAATCTGATGGCTCTGCACCCTTCCTGTCCTGAGAGCAAATTCAACATTCTTCAAATGATTTTCAGAGAGAAATTTTAGGGGAATAGGTAGGAAGGAGAAATATAAGACTAAATTCTCCTGGAGCTTTGCCTGGGGCTCCAAGGGTATGTCAGTGTCTTCCCACAGCTCAAGAACTCCTGATCCAATCCATTTCCCCTTGCCCAAAGGCAGGATCAGTTACAATTAAACTAATACCAACATGATTGTATAGCCTGTCTTGTAGCATCTTTGTCACTGGAGATCTTTACTTTCCAAAGTAATATATTCCAGTGTTTCACTGTCACTATGGTTGGACAGCTCATTTTTTTTGTTTTATTTTCTCCCTAGTGTCTTATTTAAACTTCCAGTGCTCCATCCAAAGGACATTAGTTATTGTCCTGTCCCTTTGCTTTTGGAAGCAAACTTTCACATTATTGGGGATTAGTGCTTTCTAGGCTCTGTTCTATCATTAGAAGTCATTATCTTCTACGCCTCTTCTCTATGTTGTTGCTTATTTGAACTCTCTCCACCTTTAAGAGTGGTTTCCTAAACTGAATAGCATATAATTACTCAACAAATCTTAAAACAGAATTCCTATTTATTCATCTCACAAGATTTCGTTGGGTTTTTTTCTCAATAGTGCAAAATTAGTGACATGTTAATCTTACTCTCTTCAAAGCCTAGGGGTTTTTGTCATTGATTATTGTACTATATTAAATAATCATTAAAGGTGCTATTCCTTAAGACTAATATCAAATTAATATTAGTTGTGTTTATCTGACAGGCACTTAAAATTACTATTTTTCTAAATTTTAGGTTTAAAAATGGCTGAAAAATGAGCCAGATTTGTACTGCTAACAATTATATATGATGGCAGAAGAATTGGGTTTGGAGTCATGATGGAAAATGAGTAAACTCCCAAATGTGTTCCTCTTTTGTTATTACATGAATGGTACAATCAACAATCATCAAGTCCTTCTACCGAATCTCTTGCTCAGAAAGGAAAAATGAGGAAGCTGGCTAATGCTGATAAGGTAACTTCATGAAATGCAAAGAATAAGTTAATGGATTTTGTGCTTCTGCTGATAAGTCAAGGATTTAAAATGTTTGTAAAAATTACTTTGAGTTATCTTTTTAAACAAAATTACTTTCACATCATTGTCTTCCACTCGTGTCTTTTCACTGTGGTTGGTCATCCTGCCAGGTTTTTACCACTTTAAGGAATGACACAAATATATTAGTTTCTGCTTATATGTTCTGGAAATAAGCAGGAATGTTGGGCACTCATTAATAGAATGGCATGATCCGTTTGAAATTAGGCTTTGTCGTGTGTCATCTTTAGTAAACAGTGCTCTCTTTACATGGGACTCAGGTTTTAAGTATGACTATTTGTGAATATGCCCCCGCTTTTCCCAGCTGAAGTAGATGATGATCATTCCACTCTGGAGTAAAAAATCTAATCCCAGGGACACACACCCACAGGGAGACCTGGGGTGAAGAAGGTACAAGCATCAAACAAAATAAAGGGATCTAGTGAAAAATAAGACTTAGAAGAAATTTAGTATTTTTAAGGCATGAACAGGAAGTAATGAGAGACAACTGAGAGAAGTTATGCGTGCCATTTATTTAGAGCTATTGGAAGTCCAGTCAGCCGTTTCATGATCTTTCCAAGCATAAAAGCTCAAGTGGTGATCTCTAATGGGCTTTATTTAAGATTTAAAAAGAGAACTGCTTGAAATGATACACTGACATAAAACTATGACAAAGCTATTATACAGTCTGTTTTAATGGAGTTGTTGACAGCAGCAGCACCTTCAACTGAAACTCATAACACTCCATTAAATATCTGCCTACATGGTTCAAAAGCATAGCAGAAATAGCAATATCACAATTATTGCTTCAGTTATTTCCCATGGAGTGATCCAGATACATAATGGTATCTATCAGCATGTTTTAGAGCCTTGAGTTAGATGACTTCAACTCGGATATCTTACTTAGTTGCTTTTGGTTGATGCAATTAAGCCTTCAGTAGGAACTTGGCCATTTTGCTGAAAACATAAGGAGTACCTTCGAGGAATGAGCTTACTGCCCTCTCATTACTAAGTGTTCTCATGCCTGGCTTTGGTTCAGGAGCTTGTACCCAGTGCCTCTCCTAATTTTTGCTATTCAAGGCAAAAATAAACAGTTTCAACATCATTATGTGCTCATGGTTTTTAAATTTTTTTAATAGAGCCAATCTTTAAACAGAGACAGAACCTGCTATGTGCAGATTCCATATTTTGCCAAGGCCTCAATTTAAAATTGCACCTCGGTCTTACCAGTTATTCAGGCAGTTGAATAGGAGATGAAGCACCTGATAAAGAGCAAATCTGCACAAAACCTTTGGAGAAATGGGCAGAGTGGAAAGGCACAAGCTGTTAGGAAAGAATATCAGTTTATATCAGTGGGAAAATAAAGTGTTTGAAAGCACAGTCAGCCTAAGTAACTTAGCTTCAGCTATAAAGAATTGAATGGAAGTATAGCATTTTTATATTCATCAGGTAATTCCATTTAAAAGCTGTGCCTAATTTAGTAAGAAGGAAAACTAGGACTATAATCTAGGCCCATTTTATGTATCTTTATATGCAGATTTACAGTGACCATAAAGCTCGAGAAGGAGCCTCATCAAATGATCTGTTGGTCTGGCAAGCAGATAACATGACTGTAACGTATCAACAACTTTTTCCTACTGTTTTTTTTTTAATAAACTTTTGTCCAGAAGCAAAAGCTATTCCAAAATAGGAGATACATCTTTTTTTTTTAATCCTTCATTCAGCAAAAGAAGAGAGGCAAGAGTGTTTTTGGTTACTGTCAGGACATTCCTCCTCTGCAGAATCTGCATGATTTGAATTAGTAAAAGAAGTTTTAAATTTCTTTTCAGTTAATTTAATTCTTATAAGTTTTATCAGCCTTTTACAATTAACAGTTACTGAAGCTGCAGTTCATTTTCTCTGGTGCACTCCACAAAGTCATGCCTTTCAAATCTGTGGATGCTTTCTTCTCTTCTATTGTACCCCATACCAGCAAGTATGGAATGCCAAGTCATTAAATACAAGACAGAGAGGTGTGAGCAAAAAAAATTTTATTAAATATGAGACTTATGTCTGACCTGCTTCCCCCAAACCAATTTTATCTCCGTGGCAACAGCCACAAGTGTGTGACAAAACATTAGGGATTTCTGTAAAGAAAACTTTAAATACTTAAAATGTCACTTATCAAGAAAGCATCATCTTTTATCCTTAAGCAGGTTTCAAAAGCGCAAAGCATGTTTACAGGAAGACAAGCCTTGCGGCTGTAAAGCTTCATTAGCTTTACAGTGCATTAAGTACCCTCCCCACAGCAAGCAGGACCAAATGTTGCACAGGTGTAAGAATGGACACAGACTCTGTTAACTTACCTTGTCTGCAAGTGCTTTGGGAACGGAGAAGTATGTTTTCTGAAGTCAAGTTTAGAATAGCTCTGCTATGATAATCACAAATTTTATTGCATGTTCTTTACATAAAGTCATCCCGAAGTACCTTTGCAGCTTACTACAAATATTTTAATAGTGTAAGAGGGGACAGACTCAAAATTATTCTTACCTTTTATTGCTAAATAAAATGGAGTCATAATGTAGATGAATTTGCCATGCTGGTGCATATTATCCTTAGATTGCAGAGTACTGCACTGAAAATCATAGCCAAAGTATGTATCCTTATTTAGAAAATGCTCAGAGGTCTGTTTGTGTATGACTTCAACTATTATTGAACATTTCCAAGTTTTATGAAATTAACATGAAGAGTTCTTTACCAATGCAGAAATTCTGTGATCCAACTGATACTCAGAAATGCAAATAATTTACTACTTTTTAAACTTTTTTAGAGCTCTCCCAAAAGCCACATAATAGTGAGATTATCTTGTATCCCATGTCCCAGGTCTACTGATTAACTTACACAACTCACTGGCTTCAACTCACCATTGTTTGTTATTTCAATATTATGCCTTTGGGGAAAAACCACGTTTAGTTTTTTTCTTATAGACTTTACTGTCTATTTGTATTTGAGTATGTTTTTGTTATCTGTTTACAGGACAAAAGCTTGGGATCCATTTGAACACCAGCATACAATTATTCTAGGTTAGGAAGGAGGATCACATTATACTGTGATCATCAACTCCAGCTGCTGGAGAAAAGGATAAAAGCAGCCCTACTTGCAGGTCTATAAAACTGACTATTATACTGGTACTGCTTCTATTTCTCATCTTTCTCCAGTAATAGATGGCATGTTAGTATTAAACATTTACAAGGCAAAATTTCTAAGTGGGCAATAAGGTAGGAATGTAATGGGCTGCAACTTTAGTACCGTTTTTATATTATCTTGGTTTTGAGAAATGATGGGTACTTTCTGCTTTTAAATAGAATATTGAGGGCTTTAACTTTGCTATCTGATAAGGTCAAAAGGAGCCTTGGAATAATTCTGTGTCTGCCCAGCAGCAGCTGACAGACTAGGGAGCATGCAGCCCCTCCAGCCCCACCCCACCTTGTCCCTGCACTGGGGAGCAGGATCGATGATCCTGGTTATCAATCCCTTCCTGCCTCAGCCACCAGGCTATCCAGGCTATTTAAATGGCTCCAATAAAGTATTCCTCAGACAATTAAAGGCATTCTTCAAGGCCTGAAAAGCACATTGTCCAGAGAGGACAAGGTCGAAAATAGTAAAAGAACAAGAAAACAGAACTAAGTAAATAACAGTACTAGATAATCTTCATGCAAATAGCAGAAAATTGGAAGGGTTTGTTTTGTTTAACACAGGTCCCTTTACTTTAGACTTTTAATGTCCATTTATATTCATTTCCAAATGATAACCTATGCATTGTTAACCTCAAACAGCAAGAAAACAATATCTCCATACAAGCACGAAAGGGACTTACAGCTTCTCTGGCACAACTGTGGATGCCAGGACACCTGTGGGCAAATGAGTTGCACAACTCTCATCCATTTCCCTCTCCTCTACATTAAAAAACCAACAAAAACAACAAAAAACTCCACACAAAAATGACAACAAAACAAACAAAAAAAATCCCCCCAAACCAACCAACCCAATACTGTTTCTCCACTGTTAGCAAATGCAACTACTGTGATAACCACACATTATACCTGTCTGGGCTGCTGTCTCCTAGTTGAACCTTGCCGTTTTCCTCCCTGAAAGATTACAGTTGCAAGTAAATTGCAGTCTTTTCCACAGGAGTATGAAACAAGTTTACGCACCTGAAACTTATATCAGATTTTTAAATTCATCCTGCATATAGTTATATAGCATTCAATTTGTCTCCCATAAAAACCTCTACCTCGCTGATGCCATGCAAGGACAAAAAGTTTGGGATGGCATCTATAAGCCTTCCATTTCATAGCCTGACTGGTGACCTAAATAAAACTTTTCAGTATTAGGTTTTTCCAAGATGTAATTTATACTATGGCTGTCAGGAGTTAAGATAGTAGTTGCCATGGAGCTTTAATCTTTTTTTAGGCTTTAGTCAAAGGAAGCTGGAAATCAGTATGCTGGTAGAACCCTGCTCAACAGAATTTTATGCAAATTGGGACAGGATTTTATCCTAATTTCTCTACTGAATGTTATTCTCAAATGTTCTAGAATTCATTCTATTTTCTTCTCTTTCTTAACAGACGAAAGTTTCCTTTTGGGCTTCTGAAATCACACTACATTCAACCCAAAAAGTATCTAAGTTGCTCCAACTCCTCCAACTATATGCTGTAACTTTCTTCCAGTCTTACTGTGCACAGCTAATCGCTGTAGTGAAATTCATTCACCAGCTTTTGCACTTTCAGTGGAGGCACTCCATAAGATTGCAGAAGCAAAGCTTTAGGGAGGATCTTATTTTTCTGTGTGCTCACTTGATGCTAATCTCTACAATAAAAAACAGGCCTTCAGAACAGGAATTAGTTTGAATATGTGTATATGCTACTTATAACTTCCTTGATGTATACATAAGAAAA